ATCCACCACTCTCCAGATTACCATCTTTCATTCAGCCCATCCTCCACTCTTCTGATTACCATCTTTCATTCAGCCCATCCTCCACTCTTCTGATTACCATCTTTCATTCAGCCCATCCACCACTCTTCTGATTACCATCTTTCATTCAGTCCATCCACCACTCTCCAAATTACCACTTTTCATTCAGCCCATCCTCCACTCTTCTGATTACCATCTTTCATTCAGCCCATCCACCACTCTCCAAATTACCATCTTTCATTCAGCCCATCTTCCACTCTTCTGATTACCATCTTTCATTCAGCCCATCCAACCACTCTCCAAATTACCACTTTCATTCAAAATCCTCAATACAATATAGATTAACGTCATCAGGAAACTTAACTAATGGTGCCTCTATTAATATCATTAATGTAAATATGAAAAAGTATGGACCCAAGCACTGACCCCTGCAGTACTCAGTAGTAACAAAAGTCCAGTTTGATTGGACATCATAATAACAACATTTTGCTTTCTCCCATCCAGACAATTCATAATCCAATGAACAAGTCTTTCTCCGGCTATGACTGATGTGGTTTTCTTAGCTAATGTTTTGTGTAATTATCTAATCCTTTTCTTAAAAACTTACTACACTAGTAACATTAACCATGATTCTTTCCTCCATAATAAGGTTTCTTTTATCTACTACACATCCAGTATCATTCATAACTGACTAGTTATAGTTTACATATACACAAACATGCCACGTTTGATGTTTTATACTAACTGGTGTTCTAGTTTCTTGATGATGGTTTCAGTTATCTCTTTTTACTCAATCTTATAAACCACAGTAACATTTATGTTAGAAGTTTCCTTTTCTTGTTAGTTTTATGTTTATCATTTGGTAATAATTTCCATATTTAACTATTACAAAGGGGCTTGTGGTTTGAACACAAGTTTTTAAACCAAAAGAAAAAACCACCCCTTCTTGCACATTTGATAAAAAGTTAAGGAATTACACCAAGTTAACAAATTATCAGTTTTTACACAGTTTTATCTTGCAAAAAAAGTGTTATATTTCAGCTATATTCAATGATAGCTACAAAAGAACAATCCAAACTTGCTCCATACAAAGTGAAATAAAACTTATTCACATATTCAGTTGTAATGATCAAGTTACATTCTGGCACAAAGAATATTTATGCAATTGGAGAAAAAAATAGATGGACACTTGGCTTAACAGTAGTAACAATACTACATAACAGCTAATGTTTTACAAGTAGATGAAACAGTGTTCTCTCTCAAGGTTTATTCAAAATATTTCTTCATTTGTTATGTCCATACTCTGAATAACATTTTGAAAATAGTATTGTTACGACAGCGGAAGTCACGTGACGCTAGAAGCGTGCTCGCTGGGGTTTCTAGACGGATCATGAAAGTTCCTGGCAACTCTAGTCTTTTCTAGGTGCCCTCTATTTTAGTATATAAGCCCGGCAAATAAAGCAGAGATGAAATTGCAGATAGACAGATATAGAGACAGATAACTGAGTCAAGTGAGCGGTAGTGACCGTAAGTAAAGTGCGTGAATCGTTGTGAATTACAGCATATGTTTAAGTTAAAGTGACTGTAGAAATTCTGTGTATTGCAAAGTTGTATTTAGAAAGAATAAACTAGTTTTATTTAAGAAAGGACTTGTAATGCTGAAGTTCCTTGGGAAGAATTTATACCGGAAATTAACAAACGACTAGAGACGTAACAGTATTTAGAAACACAGTGCTTACATAAATATGCTGGAAAGAGCTATTAGTAATAATGTCTCTCTCATTCAAAATGTTTATAAATTTAAAAGCAAGGTTATTATAGGGTGACTGTCCATTAGTCTGAGGGTTCATTACTCCGAAGTCTGATTGTCGGAAGATGTAAGCTGTTTTTTTTAACAGGTAAAGTTTTAAATTGATTGTCCAATTAAATTTGTGAAATTATATGACAAAAACACACCAGGATATGACCTAAAAGATTACAATTTCTCATGAATGGATGGATAATGTTTATTGTCATTTCCCTAATGTTATTTTTTTGTATGCATGTATAGTGTTAGGTGCAGAGCCCATATTAGAATTGGATTTGAGAGTCTGGCTCCTCTGAGAAAATGGACGTTCAAGATCATTATTCTTTAGTGCCATGACAACAAATGTTATATCTCCAACTTATTAAACATGTTGAAAACTTCCAGAGAGTAAGATTATCTTTACACCGAGATAATGCAATGAGCTGTAAAATACATAATTCAAATATTTCTGTTGTTTATAAATAAAATGAGAGCAAACCATCAGAGGCAACACGTCCCCTGAATCCCGCCAAGATGTACCCTTTATACTTTACATTTGAGATTGCATTCATCTATTATGGACCTACAAATCTGTTTATTCATTCAGTTTTAACTTTTATCTGTGACTATTAGGCCTTCAGAATGTTTATTCATTCAGTTTTGACTTATATAAAAATATTTTTAGATTTGTTCTTTTGTTCTTGAATACCATGATAAAAGCAATCAAATCCTATAGTTATAACTAATAAACAAAAGCTATAGTTATAACAAACAAAATTACAGTATTATTATACATATTTTAGTTTTTTGTCATTAGTAATAAATTTATCTTAAACAAAAGACATGCCAGAATTTCTGTGCAAGTTCTAAGCAGGTTAAACAGCTTCTAATAAAAACATTCAGTTATTACTGAAACTATAATAACTAACCTGTTTAGGCAGAGCCTGTTTTTAGCTTTCCATAACTTTAAATCTCACCCACAAAACTAACTCATGTACATGTTAATAAAAAAATCCCTAATAACCTTTACACCTTAGAGATGCAAAGGGTCAGAAAAAAATATGTGTGTGAAATATTTGCTGAAGGAGTTGAACCACTATTAGCTTTGGCACATGCCAAAGGTCCATGAGGTTGGAAAAACAGGAGAGAAGACGTATGCAAAAGGCACAGCATTCATGATACATCCAGGACAAAAGAACTATACTGAAAAGTTTGAAACACACTCAAACAGTTATACCTTGCAAACTGAAACTTCAGAGAGATAGATCACTCCAGATAATACAGGTGTCTACACCGACGGCAGAGATAGATCAATTATATGAGAAAATAGAAAACACCACTGAAAAAGACAAATACCACATAATTATGGGATTCTTCAATGCAAATATCAGGATCAAAAATAAGAATGAAAATACCAGATGTATGGGACCATTTGGAATCGGAGAGAGAAATGAAAGAGGCTAATACAATTTGTGGAAGCCAACGGTCTGATCATAGCAATGACATATTTTAAAAAAGCCAAGAATAGATACTTGACAAGGGAGTCACCTGATGGAAACATAAAGAGCCAATTAGACTTTTTACTAATCTCTACAAGGAACATCACTGAGAACTGCAAGGTCATAACAAAAGTGGACATTGGAAGCAACCACAGAATGGTGAGAGGGAAATTGAAACTGGACAAGGGACTGGTACGTCTAAAGAGAATCCAGAGAAACAAATTTTAAAAAACAAATGTACAAATGACAGAGATACAAGGAGACATTCCAACTACAGCTGAAAAACAAATTTGAAGTGCTTAGTGAGGAACAGTCTATGCCAGAAATTCTTGACTAGAATCCTACAAGAAGAAATAAAAACAGTACAAGACGTGGTGTCAAAATCCAAGGAAAACAGGTCAGATGCAGACAAGGACATCAAAGAACTAGATACTAAATGAAAGGAGTTAAGAAGAAAAGAGAACAAAACAGTAAGAGAAAGGGTAAAATATGCCGAACTAAACAAAACTATCAAAATTAAAAGATGAGCGAGAGCAAGACACAAAAGAAATGATCGACAAAATATTAGAGAAAGAAGTGTGCCAGAGGAGATATACAAGTGTGGATCCAAACGAAAAATCACAAAAATGAAGAAGTCATCACATCAGAAAGAACAGAAGTATTGGAAATTTGTTCCAACTTTACAAGAATTTGTGCTGGTCAACAGTCACTGACCAGACAAACACATTAAAAACAAGTCCAGACACAGAGCAAGTACCACCAATAACAGAGCTGAAGTGGAAAGAGCAATGAAACAAATGGAGAAGGAAAGCACTAGGAATAGGTGGGATAACGAGTGATGTACTAATACTAGATGTCAAGGAAGTACTGAGTTATTTAACCAGAATATAATGAAATACTACTATCAAGAAAAGTATCATGGATAGTACTGAGTTATTTACCAGAATATAATGAAATACTACTATCAAGAAAAGCATCAGGGATAGTACTGAGTTATTTAACCAGAATATAATGAAATACTACTATCAAGAAAAGTATCATGGATAGTACTGAGTAATTTAACCAGAATATAATGAAATACTACTATCAAGAAAAGTATCAGGGATAGTACTGAGGAATTTAACCAGAATATAATGAAATACTACTATCAAGAAAAGCATCAGGGATAGTACTGAGTTATTTAACCAGAATATAATGAAATACTACTATCATGAAAAGTACCACCCAGCTGGAAAGAAGCAAATATCATTGTTGTTCTCAAGAAGGGCAACCCCAAAGATATAAAGAATTATAGACCTATCAGTCTACTGTCACATATGGATAAAATATTTACACAAATTCTTCAAGCCAAAATAGAAAATATATTAGAATAGAATCAACTAAGAGAACAAGCCAAATTTAGAAAAGGGTTCTCTACCGTTGACCACCTATACACCTTAAATCACATTACTGAGAAATCAAATGAATTCAGTCTACCACTTTGCATCAGATACATTGACTACGAAAAGGCATTTGACTCATTCAAGCACTATGTCATCTTTTAAGCTCTGCAAAAAGGTGGAATAAAGAAAGTTTATATAAACATTGTTGAAGACATCTACAATGATGCAACAGCAAGAATCCACCTGGACAATCGTGTATCCTATGATATCTTGATTGGTAGAGGCGTAAGACAAGGAGACCCTACAGCACCTAAGCTATTTACAGCAACATTACAGGAAGTTTTTAAAAAATTAAAGCTAGAGGAACATGGCATCAATATAGACAGAGAAGAACTAACAGACCTCAGGTTTGCAGATGGTGTGGCTTTATTTATGGAGAACATACAACAGATGGAACATCAATTCCTCATGCTGAATGAAGAAAATGCAAAGATCAGCCTTAAAATACATAAGGGGAAAAGAAGTGTATGACAAACTTAGATGACAACTGTGAAATCAAATTATAAAATGAAACTACTGAGAGAGTGAACAATTACGAATACCTTGGACAAACAACCTACATGAAAAGGAAATAAGTATTAGAATAAGAGCAGGCTGGAGCTGCTTTGGGAAGTACTGAGAGATATTTCAAGACAAAAAACTTAAAAAAAGAGTATTTGACCAATGTGTTTTACCAACCTGGACATATGGATGTCAAACTTGGACACTCACTAAACAGCTTAACTCAAAATTACAGACAACAATGGAAAGAAAGATGTTGAAGATCAAGCTCCAGGATAAAATTCTGTGCTCAGAGATCAGAAGAAATATCGGGATAAGGGACATCTTCAAGTATATTACAGAATCAAAATGGAAATGGGCCAGACACATCACCTGATTAAAAGACAACAGATGGACGAAAAGAATCACAGAGATCAAGAGGTAGACCACACAGATGGCATGATGACATCATACGGAAAAAGGGCATCACATGGCCAAGGAAAGCAGCAGATAGATAGACTTGGAAGTCTCTGGCAGAGGCCTACGCCTTGCAGTGGGCAGACACAGCCTAGAATGAAAGACCCAAACTGCTAAATGAGAGAAGTACAAGAGGAGTGTTTGTTCCTTGGTATAGTTCCTTCTAAACTTGTAGTACATTCCCAAAACTTATGTTACTAATTTCTTTGGGGGGTGCTTTTTCCTTTTAGGAAAGGATTTTAATCTTCTTGTGGGGGGACAAAAATTATCAATAAAGAATTCTTTAAATATGTTAAGGGCAAGCCAAATCTCAGGATGGGAGTAGGGCCTTTGACGGATAATATACAAAGACTTATAGCTGATGACTGTAAGATAGCTGGGTTATTAAATTTTACATTTTCTTCAGTATGAAGATTTACACAGTTTGCCATATCCTGAACAATTGTTAGGTGGAAACAAGATTATCACATTAATTTTAAGATTGTTAAGAAAAAATTTGGGAGGTTAAATAATTGCTGTAAGTTACATCTTTAATACTGCAATATGTTAGCTAAGAGAAGCTGCAAGTCTTAATGTAAATATCAGGTTTAATAAGATAGGCCTAGAAAACCTGAGAGTGTGATATAAAGAGTTCTAGCAAATTCAAAACTAGATCATAAATACGAAATAGTTTGTGAAGTGTGGAGAGTGATTTCAAGATAGAGAGAGTGAGCACCCACTGTGTCAGTTATCATGGTTACCTTGTACAAGTAATTTTATTTAAATTAAGTAATTTGAAACAGAGGCCTACAGAAATTTATGGCACTTCACATTTGTAGAAATATTCAAAAAGGAAAACAATTAATTTATTATTAATTAATTGAATTATTTGTACCAGATTATGAGAACCCGTCAATGAAAAAAAAATATTATCTAGCTCCTAGTCCAGATAATATTTCCCCAAGGGTTTTGAAGGAGGTTAAGGATTGGATATGCGAGTCACTTGCTATTAGTGTGTAGGTGCCAGAACACCTTGGATATTGCCAAGAAAGATGATAAATGTGTCCATGTAATTACAGACTTATTTGTGTTAAATCAGTGATGGGAAAATTTTTGATAGCATCTCACAAAAGATGCTTTGGAAATTGCAAAATAATTTAATTACAAATTTTGTTGGATAGTCAAAATAGATTCACCAGGGAAAAATATTGCCTTACTAATATTTGGGCATTCCATGAAGAGGTTTCTTGTGCACGAGGGTACAGATGTAGATTTGGTGTATCTGGATTTTCAAAGCATGTCACATAAAAGGCTTTAAATTAAACTTCGAGTTAAAAAAACAACAAAAAACATCTTTGTAAGTTTGGTGTATAGGCTTGCTCATGGGATAGAAAACTTGCTGGATGGAACAAAGCAAACAGTTGTTATAAATGGTGTTCAGACGAATAGCATAAATGTTACAAGTGAACAGCGGTAATATCACTTGCACATCTTTAAATTAAATTACACATTAACCTTTCTTTTTGTTTAATTCTAACATTAGCTAAGTTTTAAAATACCATTATGGTACTTGGTAGTGAATTAAAAGTCAACAGTTGAATAAGTTTAATAAAAATAGTTTATGATTATACTGTAGTTACCAAAATGTTCTTTAAGAAAAGAAAAATTTGGTTTCATTTCGGAATTCACCCATTCTTTTCTACTTCTCCATGACTCTGTGAAATGAGATGCAAACTTACAAGGTAAGTTTGGAATCAAAAACTGAACTACGAAATCTTGATACGATATTTGATTATCTATATATTTCACGTCCAGTTCACTGGCATTTGGCTGAACAACAATATAACTTTTACAGTCGTCATAGCAATAAAAGTTAATAAGTTTTGCCAAACAGTTTTCAAACACATCGAAAGAAATGCTTTTAGTTTTACTACAAGTAGTATTGCTATTACTATTAGTCCTATTCATATCATCACTCGACTCTCTTGACGATTCCATGCTTGCACTCGAGCGTCCTCTAGTGGAATAAGCAACTGTAAATAATAATTACACTGTTTCCACAAAGTGGAGAAAAAATTTAACACCTTCAATCTAAGATAAGGTCTGGTTGTTGCTAAATGCAGAGCTACACAGTTGTGCTACGTATCTGCTTGTTTGTTAATTTCCGGTAGGAATTCTTTCCGAGGAACTTCAACGATACAAGTCCATTCTTGATTAAACCAAATTATTCTTTCTCGATACAAATTTTTTAGTACACAGTAATTACACAATCACTTTAAACTTAACAACTTTTATAATACACGCTATAAATCACAGCGATTCACAATGTCGATAACTTTGCTCTCGACGAGTACAAAACACACACTTTATTTTTCCGCTGGCTTTACCTTCCAGGCTTATATACTAAGGAAGAGGGCACTCGAACAAACTCGGACTTCCCCGATAATTCGAGAAACTTCACGCATGTTACCAGCGTCAAGTGACTTCCGCTGTCGTAACACTACCCCTTCCTTGGTATTGTTCGTCCCAAACAATAGCCACTTACATTAAACCAATAAATAATTAACGATAACTTAATTAAATGTACAGAATTACAAACACAAAATTAAAATACAACAAAGTCTCTTAATTTTACAGGCCGTTTCTTCTTTTGTACTGGCCTCGATATCATTGGCTTCTGTTTCACGTGGGATTCATCTGCTCCATCAGGAAATGTCCCACCATTGGTAGCAGTTACATTACAGGTAGTAACTTCATTAACGGCTTCACTGTTTTCCTTCTCAAAGCCGGGTAGAGTTTC